CATATCAAAAATAATCCTTATGTAATCTCTGAACATCCATGGACTTTAAAGCAAGACAGCACAACACTATACGACGTGATGTGGGTTACTTTATTTCAAAGTAAACACCTGGAGAGTTGGTTGCATAACCTGGCTTCTAATAACTATGAACTGTTGACAAAAGCAACATAATTTTCCTCATAATGAAACCATAGCTACAGCGTCAAGATGTCTTCTCTTAAAGAGAGCTAAATTACTCCCTTCACTATAATAATTACACCACTCTTCTGAAAGGGCAAAATCCCACATCAAATAAACAAAATTAACTTTGCATCATTGCGTCATTTAATTTAGATGCATCCTTGTTCAAAACAATTATATTAATTAATGAATATGATATTATGTCAAACTAAATCCCCACTTATAAAAAAAAAAAAAGATAGGGAAATTCATGAATAATTAATAAAAGAAAAGAGAGTGTTTATGATGCCCATGGTTCAACGACAGGGTAAATAGTCCATATGTTAAGCATTCTAAATCCAAAAATGTGCACTTTGATGCTCCAAGACATTTTCTGCACCCTGAAAACCATCTAAATAAACCATAGCCAAGACAAAATCCCAAGATAGCAACCACAGATATACCTAAACCTTTGGTTGCATTGTATCTGCAAAGGCATAGGTCCAAATGGTTTATACCATTGCCCTGATGGTTCCTTCTCACACTACCCACTGACACTATGGAGGTGCACCTTCTGTACACAGACTCATAATGCATTATTGTACATGCATGCAGAGACATAAGCACTTTTGACACTAGTATGTTTGCTTATCTGGCATCAGGATGTGCTGAGGGTGGCCAGGAGTTCCTCTTTGCTCATCTGATAGTGGCTCTTCTTCCACATGTCCCTTAGCTCCTGAAGGATGGTGCCAATCTCTTTACCCGAGGTAAAACCCAGTTTGCGTAGGTCATGCCCACTCACTGGGAAGCGCGGGATGGACCACCTGCTCAGCTCATCTAAGAGTTTCTTTTCTCCCTGATACTTCAGCAGCTCCAGGACTTTACTCTGGGAGTCCGGCTCTCTAGACTTCAATGGAAAAAAAACAAAACAGAAAATTATATTTAAATAAAAACATTCAGTGTTGTTATTGTTAATTAATAAATAAAAAATACAATATATAGAGAATAAAGTACTAAATATATAGAAAAATTTTGAATAGAAATGTTGCATTTGCAGCTTACTAAAATAAAGTTCAGAAGTTCTAAAAATGTACTTTATTACATTTTAAATAAAAATAAGTTAAAGCTAAATAAAAATATTTGTAAAAAAATTTAATGAGAAAAATACATAAAATGACTAATATTTAAATTTAAAAAAACTGTTAACAGAAAATGCAAAAATAAAAGCTAATTCAAAATATTAATAAACAGTACATAAATAAAACCAAAATAACACTGGAATGACAGTTTGAATGATTATGGGGATAAAGTGGGTCTTCCTGATGTTTTATATATGAAATTCAATCTATTTAAATTTAAATGTTGTACATTTATTTAATTTGAAATACAACTGATGTAATGACATTTTTTAATTATATTAGAGCAGAAGGAAATGCACATACATCAATGATGAAATCTGTGTATGGTTTCATGCTGTCATGTTCGTCCTGTTCCTTTACGAGATCTCGTCTGTATTTGACCAGGAAGAGGCTTAAGTTTTTCTCCTCTCTGGATAGTTTCAGTCGCAGATCCAGTTTCTCCACATCATCCTGGCTTCGGAACAGAGCAGTCAGGATAGTCATGGGTTTAGGAGAGCAGTCATGAGCCTTCTGCCAGATCTGCTTCATCTCCTCAACATTGCCATCTGCTGGAAGACCTGTAGGAAAATACACAGCAAGTCGGAACATTTATAATATTAAAAAAATATTCTTATATATAAACATTACATTCATAAAACAAAATTGTATTGTGAAAAAAAAACTGTGCAAGTCCCCCACCACACCACCTTTTTTTCCTTTTTACATCTCCAGAAAGTTACATTACCATTTTTATGCCCCACAAAAAAATATCAAAGTTAACTTTAATTCAGAAATTTAAAGCATGTTCATCATAGAAAACTGCCCATACGAACTGCATTTTTAAATGCATTTTTAATAATACATTTGGATGGGAAAAAAATTAGTGACAGGTAATTGTCCATTGTATGTTTAGATTTTCAGCCACAGTTCCTTACAAATATTTGTATCACTATGTTTTGTTTCTCACCTGTGTACTGGGCAAGGCCCAACTCGTAGACAAGATCCAGCAGGTGATCAGCATGGTCTCCAACCAGCATCTTCTTCAGCTCCACCCAGATCCTCTCACCTGAGATTCCTGCCAATCCTCTGGCATTCTCTCTTATTGCCTCCAGAGTCTCGGGTTCATGTTGCCCAGGCTCAGTTGCCACCCGTCCATAAAATCTACAGAGCAATCAGACAGAAAAAAATTAAGATAAACCACATAGGCCATTTATAGGCTATACAGTGGCTATACTTCATAATATTCACTGAAAAAAAAAAAAGTTATTGTAAAACTAATATTGTAAAATTTAAAGGATAACTTATTCACCCTTATATAATTAGGTGTGTGTGTGTTTATATATATATATATATATATATATATATATACACTTTTTCACTGTATATATATATGTCTAAGAAAAAAGAAAAAAAAAACCTTGCTACGTGAACTGCGTTAGGCTAACCGAGACTTGTCATTTGCACTTACATATTGTTGCTCTTTTGTTAGTTTTGATCTATTCTATTGTCCTCATTTGTAAGTCGCTTTGGATAAAAGCGTCTGCTAAATGACTAAATGTAATGTAATGTAATATAATTTCAAAGGCATATATCCAGTAATAGCGCACAATTACCTGAAATATCTCAGAATTCGAAGGTAGTCCTCTAGGATCCGTAGTGAGGCGCTGCCGACAAACCTTACTTTCCTGTTCTTGAGGTCCTCATATCCTCGGAAATAATCATAGAGAGTTCCATCTAGCCCTGTGAAAAACATAATATGGGACAAATCAAATATACAAAAATGTTAATGATTCAAAATCCAAGTCAACAACAAATCAATGAGAAATGCAAAGCTAACGCAGGTGAAGTATTTTACCAAGAAACATGGAGTTGATGGTGAGATCCCTGCGCTCTGCATCCTTCTGCCAGTCAGTGGTAAACTCCACCTCTGCGTGCCGCCCATCGGTCTGTACATCCACTCGCAAAGTGGTCACTTCAAAGTTCTCCTCATGAAGCTATATAATGTATAAATCCGCAATGTTGACATTATGTGGCAAACTGTCACCAATCAAAACAGATCACCTAAACCCTCTGCAGGTCTTTAAAAATATGGGTTAGAGGTCTGGAGTAAAACTTTCAAGATTATAATAGAAAAAAAATGGTATTTTTCACCTTACCCTGGCCGTAATGGTCCCATGTTTCTCTCCTTTGTTGTTTATCATCCTGACTCCTACTGCCTGGAACATGCTCTTCATTTGCTCTGGAGTGGCTGTGGTGGCAAAATCCACATCTTCAGGCCGTTTTCCTGACAGAAGGTCGCGCACTGCCCCTCCTGCAATCCTCAGCTCAAACCGGTTCTTTTCAAACATTTCTATTTGTCATTAAAAAAAAATCACATTTTGGACATGTTCCTTGGTAGTACAAAGTAAATTGCATGGCACACTAAAATGGTAATCATTCAAAAGTTTGGACATGCCTAACTTAATGTACATAATAAAATGCAAAATAGTTTTATTTCCATTTATGCTATTTCATCGTTTTTGGTGACTTTACTGTTATTCTAAAATATGAAAATGCTAATAACAAAGACTGAGTAAGTGTGTCCAAACTTCTCAATGGTACTGTATATTAAAGTGGTATTGAAGTACCATGGTACCACCACAGTATTTTTTAAAAGGTGGTGATGAAGTCAGATAAAGTGATCTTACCAGCCAGAGCAAGCAGCCCGTCGGTAAATAAGGACTCAAACTCTTTAGTCTTCAGTTGCATTGTGACTAATGATCTGTGACTCCACGTGAGATGAACTCGGTTGATAAACGAGGGGCGCAGAAATAATTTAGCCCACATCGGTGAACTTTTTAAAGACAATAAAAAGTCAGTGTCTGTAAATTTCACATGTCATATAAATAATGCTGAATCTTAAATATATATAAACGTTAGGTTCGAAAATAGCTAATGACTTGAGGTGACTCTTCGAGGCTAAGGTAATGAGCACATTAACGTTACATGACATTACCAAAGATAACACTATGAGGTCATAATTGGAGTTACTAAAACGAACAACAAATATCAAATGTGAGGAAAAAATAAGTTATATTTATTCACCTCAGGAAAAAAAATAGATGCTATTTCAGCACATCGGTAGTTTCACTCGGGCTGTGCGCAGCCATGACAGTCAGACGTTCACACAGAAGGGGCGTGGTCAGGTTACACAGAGCTTCCGGGATAGTACGTAATGACTTTAATAACCAATGAAAATTGTTTATTTACTTTTTCAGGCTCCCACACAGGATGCTGGATTTAGAAATACTAACATTTATTTGCATTTCTTGGCTGTAAATTAAATTGGGCTTTAATGCTCTTCATTAAAACTGAATTTGTTTCGTATTCGTGCTGATAAAACTGTGTTATGTTTATTATGTTTTATGTGTAAAATGTCAGCTATTAAAGCAATTCGCTTTTGTCCTCATCAATCAAATCCTAAGGGTCATTAGGTTATCGGTTCAGTGACTTTCGAATGTGAAAGGGTTCAAATGTTTCATTTAAAAGATCCGACTGAAAAGAATGATTCGTTCATGAATTGTAAGTTACCGGTTAATTCAATCAGGCAGTAAACCAGCCGTAAAGGAATATGTGAGTAGTATGATAATAAAAAGCATTATCTCTCTGATTGCATCAAGGCCTAAATATTCAAACTTGATGGGTTGTCTACATTTAAAGGTACCACCCATTTAAAGCCAAAGCGCATCGCGAGAGTGAGGACGTGATAGACTGTTGCATATTATGCAGTGAGCAGCTGCTGGGATCCGGTTAGTTTGATTTAATGGCTAAAGTGGAGATCGCCCCTTTGAGAAGCTGGGATGATTTCTACCCAGGCTCAGAGCGCTTCGCCAGACCAGACACGCGAGATCTGGCGAAATGGAACAACAGAGTGGTCAGCAACCTGCTGTACTATCAAACAAACTATCTGGTACTGGCAATCATTGTATTCCTGATTGTAGGGTAAGTCCAGTAGTCGCTGTCTTCTTGGTGAACGTGAACATGCATGCACAATATGGGATTTAACTGTAAACAGAATATTCAGGTAGTATTTCTAACTTGTTGTGGGCACGTCAACACCAACATCGCATTACAGAAAGTATCGTGAGAAGTAATACCTGTTCAAATAAAATATGCTGTAAAGTCAGCTTTAAATTACAACCGCTTTAAATGCACTGTAAATAAAGTTCTAATGTTTTTAAGCACGGTACTATGATACTGTATTTTTAATTTTTTTGGATACGTACCAGCAAATTTCAGTACCTTATATTATCATTTGACATCATCATTGTAACTTGGTATCAGCACTGTACTTTTTGTAAGAGAACTTCATGTTGCACTGAAGAAAACAAGCCGTTCTAATGCTTAGTTTTTGTCCTGTACAATTTAGAACATGAGGTAATTCTTAGCTAAATATAGTTAGAGGATAGTTAGCCTAGTTGATCTGGGCACACATAGTTGTGTTGGTATGTGGGCAGCTGTGTTTGTAAGACGAAGGCCAGTATAATGTCTGGGAGATTATGGTTTTGCCCTAATATTATAGCTAGTTGCTAAGACTGAACAATATTTAAGGGTGTAATCACATGACACTGACACTGAGCATGAGCAAAGGGCACGAGAGCAGTATTTAGTCGTGTAATCACAGTCATAAACTGCATGTCTATTTTCACGTCAAGATTATTATTTAACTGTCAAGTTTATTAATTTTTATAATAACCAACATGGAAAATGTCTCCTTTGGTCAAAAATATTTTTGCGTTTACACTTTATAACCATTAGGTGTCACTATTGACATATGCTTGTATTCTCATAAATCTATGCTGTGATCTAAAACAAATTCAAGTGTTTAAGGGAGTATTTAAAGGAGTACACTGCTAAGTAGACATTGATTGAAGTATAAATGTAGTATAATCACTATGATGTTGTCTTCAATAACATCCTATCACCATCTAATTCTCTGTCCGCAGGTTCTTGAACCCTGTGAGCATGTTCACGGGTGCAGCAGTGGTCGCTTCTGTCTTCATTGGCTCTGTATGGGCAGGGGAGAACAAGGCGATCATCAAAAAATTCAAGAAGGAGAACCCTACTCTGTTTGTGTTCTTGGTGATGGTTGTGAGCTACTTCCTCATGTCACTCTTCGGTGGAGTTATGGTGCTCCTGCTTGGAATCAAGCTGCCTCTTCTCTGTAAGTTTCTTAAGAAAATTGTCATCATTATCATAAATCTAAAAATGAAAGGAGAAAAAAAAAACAGCCTGTTTTCATAAGATGGAAATCTTTTAGATGGAATACAGTACCACTCTTTGTGGCTTGCATGAAAAGAATTGCAAAGCAGCAGTTTATTAAATCTAGATATTATGTTGTTTAACATGCAACGTGAAGCATCTGCAAGCTTAAAGTGCTTTGTCATTTTGCCTTTCAGTGATCTTTGCACATGCATCGCTTCGCCTACGGAACATGAAAAACAAACTGGAGAATAAGATGGAGAGTGCCGGACTCAAGAAATCGCCCATGGGAATCATACTTGAAGCACTGGGTCAACAAGAAGAGAACCTCAATAAAATTCAAGACTTTCTAGAGAGCAAACTCAAGGAGTGAACTTTTACTGAGCTTCTCTCCCATACAAGAAGGAACTGCTTTCATCTGGCACAGTTTCAGAAAACTACTCTGTTTATTCCAACATCTTTAATAGGCAAAACAAAAAGTATTTTTCTTAGTGTGTTTTTTCTATTATGGAATGAACTAATTGTATTGAACATAAGAGTGTTTTATAATGTTTGTTTACATCTCAGGTCAAATGTAAGAGGATGCCATTCAAAACGTCTTCCAAAGATTTCTCTATGACCTGTAGGGAAACGTGTCATTTGTGCATATTTCAAGTATCTCTCCCAAAATACATGTATTCATGTATTAAGACAATTCATAATATAACATGACAAGATGTCATCAGGTTTAGAGATCGTCAAATGTTCTGCAGTGCGATAACTGGAATTCTGTGGCAACTGGGAACTCCTGCGGTACTGATAATGAACTGCATTACTTTGTAGAAGATTGTTTACTTCTGTTTGTTGTTGTTGATGTGAATTGTTCATTGATGTCTTTTATCACACTGCTGATGCAGCTGTGTTGTATAAGCAATTTGAGCACTGCATTATAGTGATTTTACCATAGGAAAGGGGGTTTTAGATACTCCGTTTTTCGCATCACGTCTAAGGTCATCCCTTACCTTTGATTAATTACTTCAATGCACAGACTTTCACGGCTTATTGCTCTTGTCACCTATTAGGTAAAATAACTCCCAAGTTGAATTTCCTGTGATGCTATCAACCTTGTTTTGCGGAAGTAAGTTTTGCTTTTTGTGTTACAAACCAGTGTGTTTATGATTATGATGAAGTAGAATAATATAATAAATATGTTTTCAGTATGCAGTGGCATAACGGACTGACAAGTAGAATAACTGGACGTGAATGACACCAGGAGCTTCACACATTCAGCTTCTAAATGGCAGCACCTGCTATTACGTTCAAAATAAGGTGGATGATCTTAATTCTATGCAGAATGTGTTAATAAAGTCACATTTTGGTACCATCATGTGTTTTATTTTAATCAAATACTGATTTAGAAATCAAATTAATTGCACTCAGCAATTGTTCATGTTGTGCTTGTAGCTTGACTGCAGCAGTATCATGCAGAAGTCATTTTAAAAATGCCATATTCACAATCAGAAATGATTAATTTATTTCACAATCAAAGTGTTTGAAAACATTGAGTTTACAGATATAAAGCAACTAGTAGTCAGTCAATTGATATCAGCATGTTGGCCCAACCTGATCCATGTAAAATATACTGCTGATATGACTGATATCTTGCTGTGATATCTCCTGTGAGTATACATGACTTGAAACATGTCTTCCAAAAGTATCCACTTCTTTGTGTAAAACCTTTTTAAAGAGGAACAAATCAACTTGAGTAGACCAAGCAATGCATGTGACTGAGCAATTCTTTAGAACAGTTTCCAACAGCTGACTATCATTACAAACTCACTGAACGACTGAACTTGTGCTGAACTTAAAATGTATGAGGATGTATGACTTTAAAGGTAGTTTATTCCCAAATCCGATCCACATTCTGTCCCTCTCTCTTATTCTATGCAGTCGATTACAGGGTGTTTCAGAGCAGCTCACATCTGTGCAAACTTACCTGCAGTAAATCATGCTTAGTTCCTCCAGATCTGAACCTGCTGAATCAGCAACTTCACTTTCATGTGTTTACACTTAAAAACAGATGCAAATCTAAAGTCTTTGAATTCTACAATGCTGAGCAAATAGCTAATGAGGAATATCTGAAATGTAAGAGAATAACTATAAATTGTTGAGCACACACACACACACCTTTTTTTTTTGCACCATGATAGAGTTCAACAGACAATTACAACAAACCTCCTAAAACCACCCATACAGTGGATTATGATGGAACTCAGAAACTACCCTCCCCATCTCTAAAGGTTAAACATGACCTCATGTCTAATGACCTTCAGGTGCATAAGGTGACCATTGTTGCATACTTTGAAATCACTCTCTTAAGTCACTGAGGTACTGGAATAATAGAGTGTGTTTTGACAACACAGAAGATGCAGAAAGTCTGAAGAGTGTAACTGTCAAAGGTAAAAGTTTGTGAAGTACAAAATGTCTTGAGTAAAATGATTTTAGGTGAGCAACTGTGGGATTGTACAGGCCCATTTATGCACTGACATTGTGTTTGGAAAAATGAGGTAAATAAATCACATATTTACAGATGATTATATTACAATAATAGTGTGTCTATATACTGTGAAGCTTAAGTAGGGTGTATAACCACAAACCCACTTGACAACTGGAAGGATGGTGTGTGTGTGTGTGTGTGTGTGTGTGTGTGTGTGTGTGTGTGTGTGTGTGTGTATGGGACACATTGTTTGGAAAAATTAGGCAAATAAAACACCAGCTCCTCAGTTATAGATGATTATATTACAATAATATTATGTCTATGTACTGTGAAGTTTAATAGGGTGCATAACCACAAGCCCACTTGACAAGTGGAAGGATGGTGTGTGTATTCATGAAGGACTAATAGATGGCCATTGTTTGCATGGGTTTGGAGTCAGCTGCAGATGACCTGGCTGATGTCTTTGTACAGCTGGTGGCTACAAGAGCAAGGGGAGGTTAGACAGAAAGGCACAGCTGCAGCACAAACATCCCAGCATACTTCAGAAGCAGCCCCAGGCCACAGTTCATCAGAACAAAGCCTCTGTATCTCTCTCATTCTCAGAGCCAAGAGCAGAGGGCAATGTGAGGGGAGAGCAATCACTTCAAGAGCTGTAGGGTGAATGTCATAAAGAAACACCACACTAAAATCAAAAGGGAAAAATTTAGCTTGACACATTCAAATGTTTTGCATTTTGAAATCATTCTCATGATTAAAACTTACTCCCCATTTCAATTTGGGGGGGAAAAAAATAACATTACTGCAATACAATAATGAAAATAATTAAATTAGGCATGAACTGAGTACAAGAAAAAAAAATACTACGATATATCCATAACTCATTTTAACATTTAATATTTTATTTAATATATTATTTAATATAAATATATTTAATATATACTGTATGCATGATTGATTAACGATCGTTTTATTCATGTAAAAAAATAAGAAAATTATGCAAAAATGTTATTTTCCGCTATGATCCCCCCAGTATATTTGGATTGAAATATAGTCTTACAGTATATTTATTTTCTATTACATATTTTTGAAAATATATTTTTATGAAAATGACACTGGCTTAGAGTTTATAGGTCAGAGGTCACAATTATTTTTTTTTTTCACAAGACCAAATCAAAATATATTTGGACTCTTTCAATGCATTTTAAATGTTACTTACTTTCTACTAACCAGTTCAAGTGTGAACATAAATACATGAATTATGGTTATTTATCAAAGGTGTAGCATAAAAAGCCAGCCAGCCACATGATGTGTTGTGAGCTCATTCTGTACACAGATGACTGATTGCTTATCTTCAGGGGAGTGGCTCATGTGCTCTTAGCTGGAGTCTCAAAACTCGTTTTTCTGGTTTTATACTTTAACTAGGACGATTAGGACGAGCTGCTTGTTCTCATGAGAATTCAGAGTCTGAAGTGATGAAAAAACTGAATGTATAGCTTTAACACAAGGGATTATGTTTTTGTATGTGAGAACTTTATTTCAATATTTCAGCTACTATTAGACAAATATACAATGAATCACTTGTATTGATGCCTGTGAGTTGCTTTTTCTTGTGTGTCTGTTCGAAGAATAAATGTAACCATTATTGCATTAAATTGACTTATTAATGTTAAATAATACAAAAGTCATATTTATAGTCCTAATTGTGGTTTACTGTCATGCTTAGTCAAGCTTGCCACTTCCTTATTGCATCCCAGCAGGTGGTATTTCCTTATGAAGCCATTAGAAAGTTGTATTTTCGATTATAAAAACCTAAACCATTCATGCTCAATTCTGACAAAATACAAAGACAATACATGTTGGTTTTCTCTTTTAATTCCAATGAATTTTTTTTAGACAAATTACTAAGAACCAGCTTGAGAAATCCAAACTATATATTATATGCTTTAAAAACAAATCTTTCAAAATGATAAAAACAAATCTCTCTAAAATGATGAAAAATGTATCAAATGTTTTTACAGTATTTACAAACATATACAGTTCCCTTCTAAAGAGAAAGAGAGATGCTGTGCGCTCGGACACGGTTTCCAATCTTTCAGAGTGAGCAAAGTCCATTAGAGTATAAAAGTGCAGTAAATGGCCATAATTATTGTACCTGGATAATTGTTAGTGACAGTATAAAAACAATTATACTCCCATACAGTCATGTTTCAACAATTAAGAGTTGTTGCAGTCTGTTTTAACAGGATTAGAAAAGAAAATTAATACTTGGCACTGACTGATGCAAAGTAACATGTTGATAGACATGATTTACTAGTACAGAAACACTGCTTGTGACTGGTACAAATGTTAGTTGTGCACGAATAAAAAAACAGCACTGCTGGTTGTGAACCAAATTAAAACGGTCCCAGTACAAAGCCAGAAAGGATGGCTACTTATTGTGAATGCATTAAAATTGAACCTGATGACTAAGAAAATACTGAATGAAAAGGCTGTTGCTGCACCATCACGTTCCATGCACTCGGTTTACAAACACACAAAAACACTGTAAAAAATGTTTGTCGAGATCAGCACAAACGACTAACAATCCAAGTGTGAAAAAAGCATTGTGGAATATTTTGGTGAGGGTTTTGCACATGAGAAAAATCTGGTTTCAATCCTTCATATCATTGTTTGCTTGAGCCTGATGAAATATTAATGTTGCAATATCCTTCAATCTCACAGTGTGTATTGGGGCGAAGTATCCAGTTCATTTGCCCACAGCATCAAAAGCTTCATCCAAAGTTTCCACAGCAGCTGTGTCTTGAAGACGAAGTGCTATCCCATAGGTTTGTTCACAGAGAGAATGCATTGTCCATTCTCGAGTCACTTAGCAGGATATACTTCACTCGCATGTTTTAAGGCTCTCGTCTGGCAACATTCCTACCTTTGGAACTTAATAACCAATGGGATGAGAACAAGGCACATGAGAGTGAACAGTTTCTCTCACTCTCTACACTATCGTTCCAGGTTTAGAGTTCTCATGCCAATGGAGCGTCTGCTGGTCTTCAGAGTCAAAACTGCTGTCCATTGGGCTGCTCGTGTGTGAATCATGGTGGTTCACATCTATGTAGGATCTGCAAATAGAAAAGAGAGTAAAATGTTTTAATAATAAAAAAAAGAAATGTGGACAAATACGCTGATTTATTGAACATTTTAAACCCCAGTAGCACATAACATACCAGATATACTAAAAACCAGAGTCACGGTCAATAGTTTTGCAAGAAACACAATGTTACAAAAATAACTCCTTGTGCAGCT